GGGCCAAAAAGAAGTTGCCGCTTCAGTAAAATGTTTGTGTATTTCTCAAAAAAAAAGAAGTAAAATGTTTGTGTGCCAAGAACATGAAAACGCCGTCCACGTGGTTTGGCTCGTGGTTGCATGTATACTTACATAAAGATGCTTCTACTAAATTTGTAGTTTGGTTAAATGTTGTGGGTCAAAAAGTAGAATGCATCAAATTTATGGTTTGGTTAAATGTTGTGGGCCAAAAAGTAGAATGCACCAAATTTATGGTTTGGCTCGTGGTTGCATGTATACTTACATAAAGATGCTTCTACTAAATTTGTAGTTTGGTTAAATGTTGTGGGTCAAAAAGTAGAATGCATCAAATTTATGGTTTGGTTAAATGTTGTGGGCCAAAAAGAAGTTGCCGCTTCAGTAAAATGTTTGTGTATTTCTCAAAAAAAAAGAAGTAAAATGTTTGTGTGCCAAGAACATGAAAACGCCGTCCACGTGGTTTGGCTCGTGGTTGCATGTATACTTACATAAAGATGCTTCTACTAAATTTGTAGTTTGGTTAAATGTTGTGGGTCAAAAAGTAGAATGCATCAAATTTATGGTTTGGTTAAATGTTGTGGGCCAAAAAGAAGTTGCCGCTTCAGTAAAATGTTTGTGTATTTCTCAAAAAAAAAGAAGTAAAATGTTTGTGTGCCAAGAACATGAAAACGCCGTCCGTGGGGATCGAACCCACGGCCACGTGGTTAAAAGCCACGCGCTCTACCACTGAGCTAGGACGGCTAATGTGATTGAATTTATTCCATATATTACATAAACATAAACAAGTTTCCCATTTGTTCACCACAACTACACGAGAGAAGCATAGACCCACAGATATGTGATACAGCACAAAAGGTGGTATCTTCACGTGACCAGACATAATCCCATATATTGATATATACCTAACACTAAGTACCATAGAGTTCTTTTTTCGATCAAAGGGGAGCACCCCCGGCTCCATTTTCATAGAAAACGAAACCAAACACGCATACAGGTCTTCTGGTAACGACACCAGGTCTCAAACAGTGACAAAGGATGGCAACAGGCTGCCACTAGCAAAGATATTCTACCCCCTACTAGTAGTCTACTGGAGTAGCAAAGATAATAAAAGATATAATATACCATAGAGTTCTTCCGTATTATTGATCCGTCGACGTTAGCACCGGCTGGGCTGGCCACACGTACGAAGCAGTCACAGCGCTGCAAGAGAGCGAGAGCAAGCTGCGCTCGTCTCCCTCCCCTGGTTACATCGACATCGCACACATGGTTAGTTTGTTTCAGGTACATCCATTCCTCTTCCGTGCTCCTCCTCACTCTACGCGAGGGGAACGATGGGCATCTTCCCGCCGTACATCTCCGGGAGCTGGCCGTCCTCCATCTCCCGCCGCAGCGTCTCCTCCAAGCTCTTGTCGTCCACGAACACGAACTGCACCGGTCAATCGAGACGACGCAATGCAATTAGCCAGGATTTGACTTCTCAGCAAACATTCATCAGCCAGCTCAACCGGTAAACATGCTCCAAAACACAAGAAAAATAATCGACAACAGAGACGAGAAACATGCATGAACCACTGGTATCTTCTTGGGCAGCGAGGTTAATTACCTTGTCCCTGGTGTTGGCGTCGATGAAGGGCTGAACCAGCTTCCACGCCTTCATGAACAGGTAGGGCACATGGATCATCAGCGCCTTGCCCAGCCTCTCCGGGTAGTAGCTCTGCAGGATCTCGATGGCCGCGATGTAGGCGCGGACGTCGCAGTTGGCGTACCCCCACCCCTTTAGATCCACGACGCACAGAAACTTCTCCTGCCCTCTAGGGATCCTACAACAATTCGATTCCAATGTCATGCTAAACTCTGCCACAAATCATGCTGATCAACAGACATGTGGGTGTGGTAATGAACGCGCTACCTGGCACACATGGCGTCGAACAAGTAGACAATATAGCCTGTAGGAAGGAGAAGAAAATTATATCAATGGGCGCTCCAAATGTTTTTGTATTGAATACATCATGTCATGGTTTCATTCTTCAAAAAAGTAAATATTTAGCTTTGTCCTAAGTTAAGGTTTAAACAACTTTGATCAAGTTTATTGAAATATATATATATATATATCAATGTCTACAATATTACATCATTCCGTTATAGTTCCATCACAAAACATGTTTTTATACTTTCTTATTGGATGTTATAGGTATTAGCGCATTTTAAAATATAATTTTTGTCAAACATCCAGAAGTTTGACTTTGGATAAGTCTAAACTTCAATTAACTAGGATTGGAGGAATCAATTGGGTCTCATAGTAATAGAGTCTGTTTTGACCAGTTGATTCAGCCCACCTGCAAGTCTAAACTTCAATCATGAGAGTGAAGGTGAGATGTGAACGTACGCTTGAAGCCGGCCATGTCGCGGGTGGCCGAGAAGTGCTTGGCGGGGAAGGCGAGCATGACGGGGCGGCCGGCGCGGTCGGTGCCGGCCATGTAGGTCATCTCGTGCGACAGCTCCGTCCGCACCAGCTCCGCCGGCATGACGCCGCCGGGCACGGCCTCCCGCCTCCACGCCACGAACTTGAGCAGCATCGCCGAGGCCTTGCCGACGACATGGCCGCGCGCCCGCAGGAACCTCCGGAGCGTCAGGCTGTCCACCTCCTGCACGCGTCGTGATCAGTCTATGTTCGGTCCGTTGGATCATTGAATTACTGAACTGAATCAATTAAATTACTGCTGAGATGTTCTAGCTGCACGCGCCATGTGCGCTGGTGATTCGGGCATATTCGATCCGTTGTAATACTATATCCTTGCTCGAATAATTATCGTGGCCATGCTTCACGTGGCCACGACTTTGCCTTTGCTAGCTAGAGAGAGGTGCACCCGTTCCCATCACTTGTGCTGGAGTATTTGCTTATTCGGTCAACGAGCAATTTGTTAGGAAGAATCTCCATCAGCTAGCTTAATCAATTGATTTTTCCATACAACCAACTGCTAACAAGATGTTATCTGGTGACTGGTGACAGCGTCAGTAGCACTGTACGCATCACTGGGCAATTAGAGTGACATGTTACCGGCCATAAAATACTACAGTAATACAGTCTGTTGTTTGTGTTCTGCTCCCAAAGGCCAGGAGAAGGCCAGAGTGGCAGACTAGGAACAGCAAGGAAACGGCAGCATCCCCATGGTCATGAAGAACAGTTCAGTTGGATCGACCGGCCGGGCAAAAGAAACAACAAGAACAGGGCCGGGGACGGGGATTTTCGGCGTGAGACGTCCCGCGAAAGGAAGACGACGAAGGAGAACGAGTGTTTATTATCGGACGGAGCTACCGAAGATGAAGGAGCGTACCTTGACATGCGGGTCCTGGGCTTCCGCCATGGCCCTCAGCTCGGCGATCTTGAGCCACTCCCCTTCCCCTGCGTCCCCTCCCCCGATGCTGCTCGCCATGGATCTCCTCTCCTCTCCTCCCCGCTCCTGTCCTTCTTACTGGTACTCTGACTCTGCGCGTACTTGTGGAGCGCGGAGGAGTCTCTGCCTCTCTGGTCTCCCTGGCTGCAGGGAAGCTAGCTGTATAGACGCCACGTGATTGGCTAGGTGTTACTTATTGTTTGGCCGGGTGGAATATAAAGGAGATGCGGAGATGGGAGTGGTGCAATGGTTCGTCGTGGCGTGGGTTGCATTTGACTGCGTTCCCTTTTCCGTGGAGTACGCAAGTGTTGACTTCTGGTAGGCCGGCTGCTATTGGACGGACTGGTGTCCACAAAACTTCCATCTCGTTGTAGCGTCTTTTTCGACGGAGGATGAATTTTATCAGCTCAAATAAGCATGGAAAGCACAGATCCAACCTCTACAAGAAAAAAAATGAAGCATAAAAAATAATGATCGACGAAATATGAGGGGGATTTTTTTGGAATTTTGTAATGGGCACATGGCAAAGTTGGGGATTTTTTTTTCTTTGAACAGATGTCAAATTTAGGAATTTTCCATGAACACACGGCAAAGTTTAGGAATTTTGCTCCTTAAAACACATGATAAATATATCTCTAATAGAGAGAAATGGGGAGTGGAGCTGCGGTGTATGGTGGCTAAGAGGACAAGGTCGTACTAAAGAGGTCGTTCGCGCGAGAACTGGCACCGGGCAAAAGATGGTGTCGGCTGACATGACACGCTCCATCGCTTTGGGATTCGTGTTGGCCATCCGACAGCGAGCAAGTTCTTCATTGGGAATCGTCAAAAAACTGACGTCAGCTAGTATATAACATTTCTCTAAGTTAATGGACTAATGACGCATTTCACTCTCACATTTAAGTCCAGTGTCCTCAAGTAATGGGGTAAATTGAATGTTTTCTTAAATAATACTACCTCTCTCTTAATTTACAGGGCGTGCGCGTGCCCCTAGGTCGTCAATTTGATCAACCTAATACAAGTCATATATTATAAAAAAATATAACAATATAAACTTCAGATGTTTTATTTTCAAACTGTATAATTTTTATGTTATATAATTTATGTTAAGGTGATAAAATTGGTAATCTAGGTATACGCATAGGACTTGTAAATTGAAACGGAGGTAGTACTACGAATATCCTATCAACAAGACTCGGGTCCAAATTCTGTCGTGTTTAAAATGCCATTAATCCCTTACCATATCGCACCGCTGAAAGGAATGCTTTCTGTCAAAAAATACCTTACCATAAAGACGGTAACAGTGCGAGCTCTCTCCCCCAATTACATCTAACATACAAGAGACCCTGTCCTGTTTGTTTCGGTGCTACCTAGTCGTCGGTGAGGGGGGCAACGGGCAGCTTCCCGCCGTACATCTCCGGCACCTGGCTCTCGTCCATCTCCCGCCGCAGCGCCCCCTCCAGGCTCTTGTTGTCCACGAACACGAACTTGTCCCTGGTGTTCGCGTCGATGAAGGGGTACACCATCTTCCAGGCCTTCATGAAGATGTAGGGCACGTGGACCATGAGCGCCTTGCCCAGCCGCTCCGGGTAGTAGCTCTGCATGATCTCGATGGCCGCCACGTACGCGCGCACGTCGCAGTTGGCGTACCCCCACCCCTTGAGGTCCACCACGACGATGAACTTGTCCTGCCCCCGTGGGATCCTCGAGCAGACACTGTCCAGCAGGTACACAACGAGCCCTGCACCGGATGAAGGTAACCAAGCTCATCAAGCTCCATCGTCGATCGTTAGCAAGCGAAGATCGGAGGCCATGGGGGTGAAGGCGGGGTCGATGTGCGTACGCTTGAAGCCGGCCATGTCCCGGTTGGCGGAGAAGTGCTTGGCCGGGAAGGCGAGCAGGACGGGGCGGCCTGCGCGGTCGACCCCGCCCATGGAGGCCAACTCGCGCGACGGCTCCGCCCGCACCAGCTCCGCCGGCATGACGGCGCCGACGCCCCCCGGCACGGCCTCCCGCCTCCACGCCATGAACTTGAGCAGCATCGCCGAGGCCTTGCCCACGTCGTGGCCACGCGCGCGCAGGAACCTCCGGAGCGTCAGGTTGTCCACCTCCTGCACGTACGCGTCAGTATATTCGATCAGGTAAAATACTGAATGGAATTAACTAAGTTAATACTGTACTGAGTTCTTCTAGCTGCGAGCATTGACCTCCAAAGAATCTACAAAGGTTTACTAACCTTTCAAACTAAGGCCATGTTTGATTCATAAGTTGTAGGACTTTTTTTAGTCCCAACTTATAAGTCCCACATCCCTAAAAAGTCTCTACTTGTTTGGTTCCTGGGACTTATAAGTCTCTATAAGATCATATTACAATTATAAGTCTCTATAAGTCCCTCCTTGAAAGTCTTATTTCATAAGTCCTAAATGCCCATTTTAAGTCCCTATAAGTCCTTCCTGTTTGATTTAGATGGAATTTATAGGAACTTTTTGAAGTCCCTAGACCAATAAATCCCTGGAAACAAACACCCTCTAAGAGTCTCTATCCCCTAAATTTAAGTGGGGTGAACCCTCACCCCTCTCTATTACCAATCACAATCATCCACATCAGTTTATATGTAATTTTTTTAAGTAAACCTTTGTAGATGTAGTATTACTCTGCGCCACGTGTCTCGGTGATTCGAGCTTATTCGATCCGCTGTATGCTTACTTGGATAGTTATCGTGAGTGATACTATCACGATTGGGGCAACCTTCCCTAGAACTATCTCTTTACATTTTTTTTGTCATAGCCTACCAATTTTGCGCTAACTTTTTGCTAAAACATACTCCTTCGAGTTGGGTACGGGTTTGGGCATCTTAGAATCGTTTATGACATGCTGGCCCCACTTGTCAGGGCTAACACGGCATAAAATGTCAACTCTGTTAACTTTGACCGTTATTCAGCCACTATTACAGGTGGGACCCATGTCAGCATCAACCATTTTCTCTCTGGAAACATTTTATCTATGGGAAATTTCCTCGGGCAGCTTGTAGACGATAGCGCCGTGGGCATTCTCCACTGCGAGGCTGACCTTGCTGACGTGTCTGGCCTCTTCGGATCAAGTCACGGTGATCTTGAAGTTGCAACTGCCCAGCACCATCGCGAACCGCACCAACATCTCACCGGCATACCATTGCCGGGCCAAGGCGACCGCATGCCTGCTAGACACCTTCATCGCTTGGCCGCGGGCGGGGTTGACGACCTACTAGCTCAGCTCGACCTCCGCCGAAGAGAACGCCACCGCCACCGGCGCTAGCTTCTTGTAATCCATGACCTCGACGCAGAGCTGTGAGCTAAGGAACCATGGCGGTGACACGGTCATCTCCACCACATGGGACAACACGAGGCCTGTAATACACGTCCACCATGGAGACGCTCTTTGCAGGGATGCCCTCGGCGCCGAGCTCCCTGACATCCGGGCCCGGGAAAGGGGAAGCGTCCGCGAAGAGTCGACGCAGTGGCACCGCGAAGAGGAACCCGTGCTGGCCCACGAGGGATGACCACCCTGCGAGGCAGAGCACGCGCCACGTGTTCGGGGCTGGAGGCAGCCGGGGTAGAGATTCATCGTAAAGCTACGTAAGAGTTGGTTTGGCATGCTCTGATTGGAAGGGAAAATGGCACGGCCCCATCCCGCAAAAATCAAGGGGGAAAGAGAGAATTATATTAGGAAGATTATGTAAGGTTACGTAGTGGATACATAGATGTAGGATTATTGCTAAACCTAGCCTCGCCTCCTGCATCCGTGCGAGCGGTTGGTTAACCGAACGCACAAACTGAAAGTGCTTCGCCTAGTGCATGTGCGCGAGCGCCCCCCTCCAACCCCCTCCTTGAAAATAGCGTGTGGGCCCCACATGTCATAACGGTCAACATTACAATGCAGCTCAATGGGGTTGACTTTGTGGCTTTGTGCTACGTCGGTCCTAAAGGGTGGGCCATATATGTCATAACCACCATTGAGCTGACAAAATACGATAGTTTGAGGTCAATCGGCCATCAACAAAATACGATAATTTTTAAAAGAAAAAAACAACACAAAATTGGTAAGTTTTGGCAAAAAAATTTGGAAGTGGTAGTTCTGGGAAAAAAAGTTGTCTCAACTGTGATAGTTTTTGCCTATTTACTCGAAAAACAGTAGGGTCGGCGCGGCGCCCTTGCTTCACGTGGCCACATGGCTCTGCTAGCTAAAGTTGAGCTACGAGTACGATACGCCTGTTCCCATCACTTTTTCTGGAGCATCTGGTTGTTCAGTTAAGGATCAATTTGTTAAGATGAATCCCCCATGATCTGTTCATACAACGAACTGCTACCGAGATGCTCTGTATACCTTATTTTTTGCGGGCAAACTTGAAGAGCTTTATTCAACAAAAACAGCCTTGGGCTACTGTTCAGAAAACTGGGTGTAACATGTAGCCAATTCTCGGACACATCCGAAGTGCAAGCAAACTTCGCACAGAGGTAAGCCGGGAGGTTAGCAGTACAAATTACATGCTGAAAGGAAAAAAGAAATAGACTGAGGTATACGCTCTCCTATTTCATCTAAAAGAGACGCTACATCGAGCGTGACAGTCACCTAGTGTGCCAGAGATTAACTAGCTCCAGGCAATCTAACTCCGCGGTCACATGACTAAAACCGCGGATGCTTGCTAGACGAACGCCATCATAGAAGGATAAGGTCTCTATGATTAGCGGGTCGGTAACATCCTCGTAAGGCTTGCTCCATGCAGCAATAAACGACGAAGCAGAACGAACAACGCCGTCCACGGTCCACCCCTCCCTTCCACAGATCAGAAAAGATGGCATTGTGTGTATCGATTTTGATAATTCCATCATCAAGCGGACGCCACCCAAACCCAGGCAGAATTTTTGCATGATCACGAGGTAGTTCAAGCAGGGCAGGGAGTTCCTCCGTATACCTTATTGACCAATGAAAGTGACAGGTTACCGGCCGTATAACGTACTCATATATGCTACTGATACTTTCGTCTCGGTATCAAAAAAATGAAAATCGGTTGTTTGCGTTCTGCTCGCAATCTACTAAAATTAAGAGGCCGTTCGGAATCTCTCCTCTCCGTAACTCCTGAGCGAAGCAGAGCGGCATACAGTGAAATTTTGGCGAGCGGCCGAACACAGCTTAAGCATGCAAAGCGGCCGGGGATTTCTGGTTAGTTGCATATCGATCGCCGGTGACAAACCGTCGAGCGTGCATACGCATCCACAGTCCATCTCTCGAAAGGAGGACGTACGACAGCGACGAAGATGAAGGAAGGAACGTACCTTGACATGCGGGTCCTGGGCTCCCGCCATGGCCCTCAGCTCGGCGACCTTGAGCCACTCCCCTTCCCCGGCATCTCCCCCCACGCTGCTCGCCATCGGTCTCCTCTCCTCCCGGCTCCTGTCCTTCTAACTAGCACCGTGAGCACTCGTATAGCGGGGAGTCTGTGCCTGTCTCGTCTCTGGCTGTGCAGGAGGAGAAATGCAGGATAGAAAGGGAGTGGCAAGCTACTACTAGTATGCACACGTGTTTGACCGGTGGAATATAAGCCAGAGGAGAGTATGCAGTGATTCTCCGTTCCTCTGCTTGTCGTGGCGTCGGGTGCATTTGTTTTCCTGCGTTCCATTCTCGTGGAGATTTTTGTAGCACGGATGCAAGTTTGACTTCTCGTAAGCCGGCTGCTATTGGTCTTGTTTCCGAAGAACTTTCGTCTCGTTCCAACATAGTTAATATTATTCCCTCTGTAAATTAGTGATCAAAATGCTAAATTAATTTTTTTGAAATTATTTACCCCACATTGTTCGTGGCAGGTAGCACTTCGTGGAAGCCCGGTCACACCGCATTACTTTATTACTTCTTCCGTGTTGATCTAAATGCTCTTATATTTCTTTACGGGGGGAGTGCCTCACATTGTGTACCGAGAACTGCAACCATTCGATATTTAGTTACACAATGTGTAAATATAAGCACTAATACGTTCCGTAGATTGTAGATGTACATAACATGAGATAGACAACATATACTCACTAAACTTTGTGAAACATCTTCAAACATATTAGCGGTGTGACAAGGACGTAAACGTTGTACAACATCACCGACTACGCCGACTTCCATCACATCTGGTGTGACGCGAACGTAAACGCCTCATCATGCACTCCCCTCATCGACTTCTAATCCTC